CATTCTTTTTCGTTTTGTACTCTATGTGTAGATAATCTAATATCCTTGTGAGTATAGAAAAAAATTATTTTCGTTTCCTAGATGTTTTGCAATTTCATGTTTTCTTTCACTATTATACTAACTTTCTTATATTATCAGCTTACACTATATAGTAGTTTGTGCAACAAGAGTGGATATGATAGCTATATCGTACGAAGACGAAATTTGAGCACGACGCCGTAGGGGAGTGCTCAATCCTCTGAGTCCGATGTGGACAATCCACTCGAGTTGTACATATGTTACAAATTAAAAAAATATTTTAGGTTAAAGACAAAATAACTAATTTTAAAATAATTTATAAATTTTACAGATTTTTAAAATCAAATAAATATGAACAAAAAAATCGCCAGCCTAGAATCGTTCCCCGGCTTTTCGCGTGGAAGTCAAACACACTGGCACGCGTCCACGTCCACTTTTACGATTTTTGTAAATTTATTTATTTATTTATTTTATCCACTGAATGTCCAGTCCATGGTGGATATCTATTTTATATCCATGAGATGTAATTTATAGACATTCAAATGTCCATAAATAATAGTAATTATATAGCAAATTATGAAAAAATTACGCCATTGTGCTCGCCATTGTGGCTAATAGTACCGTTCAGATATTTAAAATTAATTTTTTTTAAGGTGTATTCAATATCCTATGGACATCCACAAAATATATCAAAGTCTAGGCGCGAACGCAAACCATGGTGGATATCCACTAGATGTAATTTTTGATTTTGCTTACTAAGTATATAGATGGCGACACCACTTTCACTCGTTGAATATCTACTCATGCTCAACCCGCCGTAATTGATTTTGATCGAAATTGGTATCTCAATCAGACTCCATTAGAGACTGGAGTCGAGAATTTCCATTTATCGCTGAAAAGTCCTAATAAGGATGACTTTCTCCTTAGTGGGCAAAATCAAAGGCAGTGTTGAAAATATTTTGAGTGTTTTTTATCTCTGCTATTTTCTTTCGACTTTATTCAATAATCATTGGTTACTTATGAACCTCTACTAAAGATACCCATAAAATATTTTGCTGAATATCTTCGATATCCTGGGATATAGACGGACATTTGGATATCCATATTAGATCCACTGAATGTATTGGATATCCACAAAATATATTCTGTGGATATCTCTGAGATTTCTTGTATTGTCTGGAAGATACCCATTAGATATTTTGCTGGATATCCATAGGATATCTTCTATATTCTGGATATAAACGGACATTTGGATATCCATATTAGATCCACGGGATATTTCTGATATCCTGTGGATATATTGGATATCCACAAAAGATATTCTGTGGATATCTCTGTGATTTGGTGTGTTGTCTGGGTAATATCCATGTGGGTGTAGAAAAAATTAATATTGATAACGTAATAGCGGATACTTTTTTGGATTTGCATCCCAATTGTGCAAATAAATTAAAGGTAAAGCCATTATTTTAAATATAGATTCAGGATATTAAAAGTTGCATGGTGTGGCTATTTAATTTAAATGCGACATAGGAATGTATATGGTCCGTTTACATTGGCCTGGCGTATTCACATTTTAGTGGTGCAATAGCGAAAGTTATTTAAATATTTACGGACTGTTTTAAAAACTACTGCAGGTAGAAATTAGTAAATATTATGGGCTCTCAGCTCTCGAGTTAAGTTTCACGGAAATGTACAATCGTTATCTCCTCTAATGTCCCCACTTCAAACCATTGCATTCGACAAAATTGTTTTGGTCGGACTCAGGATATTTGAAAGAATTGTTGAACTTGATATTATTGTAGGGTCTAATTACGATTAGAAGAACACAGCTACGTCATCATTTGGCAACGTAATTAATTGGTGATCGCCGCCTATTGGGGGTTTAGTGTAGTGTTAATATTATATAAATATACGAAATATTAACAACTTACTTAATTATTGTTTATTGAAAGTTATAGATAATATGCATTCGAAATTCGAATACATATTATCTATAACTATATATAAATAAAAAATAAGTAAGTTGTTAGTTATAATACTATATTTCCTAGATTCCTATAATATTAACCCCAGTAGGCGGCGATAATTAATTAACTACATACTTTGCCAAATGATGACGTAGCTGTGTCCTAATTATTGTAATCGGAACCTAGTAGTGTTCATAGAAATAACTATTTTAAATGTTGTATGAGGTGGTGTTTGAGATTAAAAACACAGGAAGAAAAAAGGATTGTTTTTTTTTAAGAAAGAATTTAAAAACCAGTTGATTTAGAGATAAAAAAAATATTTTTTAAAATAAAACACGTAGCTACGATTAAAGTAAATACTGATTTTTTATAACAATATTAAATGTATAATGTATTGTTGTTTTTGCATTAAATACAAAACCCAAATAGTTTGTTTAGTTGCGTGACAGAGTGCCTAATAACTCTAAGCAACAATAAAAAAATAAAGGTAAGATTCCAATTTTGTCGTTCCCAAATGGTACCTTAAGTTTTCTTAATCCAAGGTTCCGCGATTCGAACCCCACCGTGAGCAGGCATTTTTTTTTAAATTTATTTATTTAAAAATAATTCTGATCCGTATGTAGGATTCTCCACTCTAACCATTCACTGTTGGGTTCTAATTGCCAGTTCTGATCCTAAAATAGCGATGGGAAACAGTGACAAGGCCTGTCTGTAAGCGTGTATTAAAGTACTAGTACTCCTGCAATATGGAGTATTAGACTACTAGTTATACTACTAGCGATATTAACTTAAAATTTTTAGTAAAAATTAAGCTCTATAAGGGGGTCTAATGATTCTGAACAAAAATTGAATAAAAATGGGAGGTTAAGGAGGGTCTGTTAAACTGTGAAGAGTATAATATAGAATGCCAAGCATTATATATCTTCATTCTAGTTGAAGGGTTAATGAGCGTACATTGAATTGTATATATCCTAATTTCTTTCTCTTTTGATTTTATATAAAAATTACCTTGATACCAAAAATATCTCTCATGCATGAATGTCATAATACGTGTATGTAGGTGTCTGATATTATCTGTGTGTCTGTATCCACGATACCTCAAAAATGTATGCAGAGAAAAACAATAAATTTAAAATTTAAGATTTAATCCATCCTCTAACGAGTTGATTAGATTTTGGGCTAATACAGAGTCGTTTTTCTACTTTAAGCAATATGTCTGTTATTAACGCTTGAAGAAAAAAATTCGGCAAATAAAAGTTGCTGGTGATATAAAATTCAATTAAACAAAATGAGAAAAGTATGTAGGTATTTGACTAATATCGAAAATCTTTTACCACAAATGATTGGTTTTCAATTGTTTCTTTTGCAGTATACAGGCCATTGAGATCAATACGATTTTCATGTAAAATTGGTATTAGCGTATACTCTGTATAATCTCATACTATTTAATTGTTATAATCGAAAAAGCGAGGGCAATTCAAATATAAAATAAAGTGTCCCATTTAAAAAACCTAACTTTGATACATATCACATTCTTGAAGAACCCTGTATAATTGAAATTATTTTTAAATTGTTGGTTTTTGGGACATACATCTCATTGTGAAAACAAATTTTAAAAAATCACATGGTTGTGGCTCTACAGACCGTTATCAGTGGCCCACCCTGTATATAAGATATTACCTTACAAGGCCATTTTTAATTTGAGTGCAAGAAAACTATGTAGGTATGTATAAATGTTAAAAATGAATTCCGAGAAGCTAATTGTTAAAAATGTCAAATGGACATCTCTATAAAGATGTTTGTTTTTTTAGAGAAATAAAATCAAAATTTAAAAAAAAACATATACAAATTTAGCCTAAAAAATATTAAACATTGGTAAACAGTATTATAAAGTTAGAGTATGTAGTTATTTTTAAAATTAAAACCAATAATTACAAAAAATGGCAGTGGATTAAATTTCATTAGGAAATAAAAATACTTTTTAAGGGCAACAACCACATTTGTTAATAATATATCGAATTATTTAATTAATTAAATACAAAAACGCTGGTATTAAAATTGTATTTGTTCCGGCCCTGTCTGCCTCAAGAACAACGGTAATGCAAATGACTAACAACGACTAATGTTCTAAAGCGGCATCTGTGAAATTACCTTGAAGTTCTTACAGTATAGAATCCTACAAGCTTTGGATACGGCGTATATCATCTTTCATCTGCGTTGTCCCTAGCCGATTAGGTGAATTAATAATTAGCTTTTATTTCAAACCAAGCTTTCAGGAAAACCAAACATTATTTTGAAGTGCGATTTGTTTCATTTATTTGATATGCTAGTTGTACGGGTGGTAACGAAAAGAAAACGTCTAAATATGTTTATTTTTAATGTAAATACGTCGACAAGCCGAGGGTTTCTATGTGATTTTGACACCAAGGATCAAAGTCATTTTTCGAGTATTTTTAAAAAACTCTGCTTCTTTAGATTTCTTTACAACCCGTAGGCATTATTCATGAACTGATTTCTATATTTAAATTAATGCTACGAAGTATACTTTTCCCGAAAGCTTCGTCAAAAGTAACCTCTGCATATACGGGGAATTAACATGGGCGATCGCCGGCCTTAAAGAGAACGATGGAATTAAATCCCCTGAATAATATTTTTTATTGCATTTAAAGTTGGCGGAATGTTTAAAAAAATCATTGTAAGATACAATGTTTCCCATTTGTATGAAACTTTGTTACACTTTGTATATGAATTGTAACTAATTGTAGAGAACTAAAAAAAATTAATATAAAACCGACGTTGCTAGCCACAGGTCGCTATCGAGCTACCGACCGATCTCACTCGACCTTGGTCTGGTAACATTGATACTAAAATGAATAAATTTCTCCTGCATATGCGAACGCTATTATCCACTTCAATCCAAGTAAAGCAGATCCGAAAGCTTGATCTTGCCAGTACTATATATTAAAAACAGGTAGTTTAATACAACAACGGAGGCTGAGCTGTGGTATGACTTACTTCCTTGGCATGTTGTATGATAGCAGATTTGTCAATTGGTTTGATCGTAAAAAGATCCATTATTCTTATATTTATGCCAGAACTATTTAAGTCTTTTGAAGCCTTTATTGTTTCTTCCAATGTGACACAGGCTGCAATGACCAACGCTCTATCTGAAGGTGAAGATTGGACAATTACTGCTTTGCCGATCTAAAAACAAAAAACAACACAATTAAATTATTTATTGTTTGCTGTATTTTTAAATCAGGGTTTGCTATAAAAATAAAAAATCTGATGTGTCCAACACATGACTTTCCTATCTAGTTATTACAGGCTTTTTCCGGTTATTTTGTACAACCTATTGCAGCACCTCCATAAATGTTTAGAGGATAAACTAAATATATACATTTTCCACATACATTTACATCGAAACATTTTTCTATAGATATTCATTGAAAATGAAAATACTGAAAAATTTAAATTTTGCACTTTTCCTACAATTTTTCCGTTACGGTCCATTTTAGAAAAATCATGTATAAACAAAAATTATAGAGATTAATATCGCAAACAACTTTTATTTCAACAATTTTGATAAAAATCAGAATTTTGCCCATTTTGTCAAATTTCTCGAATACGGACCATTTCAGGAAATTTTGACAAAATACAAAAATTATAGATAATAATATTTGAAGTAACTTTTAATTGAACAATTTTCTTCTCCAAACATAAATAACAGATATATTCCATAAAATATAAAAACGGCCTTCTATAAAGTACCCCCCCAGATGTTCCGACTTTGTCCAAAATCTAATCATTTCACGTCAGGCCGAAATAAACCTTAAGTTTAAAATTTAATGTTTTTTTTCTTTATCCGTTTTTGAGTTTTCTTCAAAATTCGAAATTTACACATTTTCTCAAATATCTCGAATACGGTCCATTTTAAAGAAATTATGTATAGAATAAAAATTATAGAGAATTATATTACAAACAACTTTTATTTGAACAATTTTTATAAAAAATTATTTTTTTACATTTTCTCAAATTTCTCGAATACGGACCATTTTAGGAAAATTTTGCATAAAACAAAAATTATAGATAATTATATTAGAAGTAACTTTTATTTGAAGAATTTTCTTCTCCAAACGTAAATAACAGATATATTCCATAAAATATAAAAATGACCACCTATAAAGTACCCCCCCAGATGTTCCGACTCTGCCCAAAATCTAATCAGCTCATTGGACGCTGAAACAAAGCTTAAGTTTAAAATTTGGTGTTTTTTTGTGTATCGGTTCATGAGTTATGCGTTATACAGAGACACACACACACACACACACACACACACACACACACACACACACACACACACACACACACACACACACACACACACACACACACACACACACACACACACACACACACACACACACACACACACACACACACACACACACACACACACACACACACACACACACACACACACACACACACACACACACACACACACACACACACACACACACACACACACACACACACACACACACACACACACACACACACACACACACACACACACACACACACACACACACACACACACACACACACACACACACACACACACACACACACACACACACACACACACACACACACACACACACACACACACACACACACACACACACACACACACACACACACACACACACACACACACACACACACACACACACACACACACACACACACACACACACACACACACACACACACACACACACACACACACACACACACACACACACACACACACACACACACACACACACACACACACACACACACACACACACACACACACACACACACACACACACACACACACACACACACACACACACACACACACACACACACACACACACACACACACACACACACACACACACACACACACACACACACACACACACACACACACACACACACACACACACACACACACACACACACACACACACACACACACACACACACACACACACACACACACACACACACACACACACACACACACACACACACACACACACACACACACACACACACACACACACACACACACACACACACACACACACACACACACACACACACACACACACACACACACACACACACACACACACACACACACACACACACACACACACACACACACACACACACACACACACACACACACACACACACACACACACACACACACACACACACACACACACACACACACACACACACACACACACACACACACACACACACACACACACACACACACACACACACACACACACACACACACACACACACACACACACACACACACACACACACACACACACACACACACACACACACACACACACACACACACACACACACACACACACACACACACACACACACACACACACACACACACACACACACACACACACACACACACACACACACACACACACACACACACACACACACACACACACACACACACACACACACACACACACACACACACACACACACACACACACACACACACACACACACACACACACACACACACACACACACACAGACAGACATCATCGCGAAAATAGTCAAAACGGATTCAGGGGACCTCAAAACGTAAAAATCCGTCGAAAACTCGAGGTCGAAAAAAATCATGATTCCTATACTTTCCTTATATCTGTATACAGATAGGAAAGTAAAAATAGCTCATTCTGTAAGTGTAGGAATTTCCCTACATTAATAGAAACAAAACCGGACGACAGAAAATGCTTGCAGAGGGATTTTTTATTGTTCTAGAAATAAATTATTTAATTTCCAGCAAAAAACGAAAAACTCTATCGATAAGAAACATTATTGTGTATTTGACAAGTTACACGACAGCTCCCACCATTGGGATATGTACATGTTGTTAACACCCTCTCCTCTGTACCTAAATACAAATAGCAAAAAACATGACATGCCACTTTTTGTAGTCAGATGAGAGACTATATTATATTAGGTATTCATTGTTTTCACTGACTTTATGTGAAATGTGATAAACGTATAATCTGCAACATGAATTTTGTATAATCTGAATCCTATTTTTTCTCGCTTCAACAAACAAGACCAATAACAAAATTATTAAGAAGCTACCTAGTAAATACTAGCAAAGTTAAATTTTTAATGTAATGAATAAAAAAATGCCGATTGGAAAACAATAACTTTAACGACTTTTTATATTATATTAACAAAATATCACTTCACCATCTAAAATGCTACCCTGACATGTATTTTCAACTACTTCTAATGGTTCACCTGCAATATTTAAATAAAGATTATCGTTAAGATATACGATTTCTACCAAAAAATATTAATTTAGATATTTATTCGAGTTTAAATTTGAATCATGATGTTAAGTAAATTATTTCAGCTGTAGGCAAAGAATACCTACCCAAGAAGCGAAACAATGAGTTTTCGTATGTACCAAAGCAAGGGGACTTAATACACTGGGAAACGTATGGAAATTAATCAATTTTTGTCGTTTGGTTCATTAGAATTAAACACATACTAAAGTAACAATGACTTACTATGTTTATTATGTCAAATAGATTATTTTAATAACGAAATAATTTAGTAGGTACAATAAACAATACCGAAAGCAGATGATCTGGACATTCTGCAAATAGGGGGAATTTTGAGAACAATTATGCAACAGTGGTGCAAGGACCATTCACTGTCTATCAATCCCAAGAAGACAGAAATAATCCTTTTCACAAAGAAAAGGATAAAAATAAAATTAAAACCTACAGAGCTCCTAAACACGAAACAAAACTTTGCAACAGAGATGAAGTACCTAGGTAGCATCTTTGACAACAAGTCACACTTCAAAAGAGCATACATTACTTATAAACAATTCCACCGGACCGAGGGACGCACCTGGGGTTTCTCCTCCAGAGTCGTCACATGGACTTACATGGCCATGATCTATCCTAATATACGGTGCAGGTGTCTGGGTACCGAAAATCCAAAAATTGACAGCTATCCCCAAAATAGAACAAATTCAAATAACAGCATGTCTCAACATAACAGGAGCCATGAAAACCATACCAACCATGGCTCTGGTTGGAAGTCGTTCTTAGTCTCACGCCACTTCATATTTACATCAAGGAGGTTGTTTTGATGACAATGATACGCCTCTGCACAGTTGGAATAGAACTTGATGTACGAATTGGTGAGGTGAGACATCGCTTTTGGCGCGCTCCCACTGCTTCAGGCGAACATGAACCTTATCTCACCAAGATATATCTTCCATAAGCCATATGAAGTTATTACAAAACGAATAGAAGATCTGGAAGTGGCAGGTACGATTCATATCTACAACGACGGTTCTAAAACAAAACAATGCTCAGGATGTGGAATATACTCCAATTTCTTAAACCTCAACATAAAATGGGCTGTGAGCAATAGTGCCAATGTAGTTCACGAAGGTTCTCATAGCAGCAAAAGAAATCATCAGAAACAATATCACTGGTAGGAACATGCTCATCTATACAGAGAGCAGATAAACACTACTTACCCTGAACAGGCTACGAATTTACTCAGAGTTAGTACTAGAATGCCACGAAACTTTGGCAAGAGTATCCATCCAACAATGTGAGACGCTATATTGCTGATTCACTATCTAAGAAGGCGGCCAACCAAATACTTTTTGGACCTGTCCCTTCTATTAAACTGACAACATCGATAGTGACAGACCCAATTAAAAAATATTCCCTTGTGAAATTAAAGGAAAGATGGGATGAAACAAGAAACTGCTGAGTTACCAAGGAGCTTTCAAGTTATCCTGACAAACACTACAACAAACAAATACTTGACTACGACTATACAGAATCTGCGTCTGATTACAGGCATTCTGACTGGTCATTTCCAAATATGAAAATATCTTTATATCATAGGGATGTCAGAATCCGCACCCTGCAGGGGGTGCGAACAAAAAGATGAGACCATTGAACATATCCTCTACGATTGCCAGTCGTTTTCAATTATTAGAAGATTTGTTTTCGGTGAGTATTGGCTATCACCGGCAGATATAAGAGAAGCACCTCTTGGCGACGTTATCAACTACATTAAATTTGTATGCTGGCTCACGAGCTCGGAGGTGCCTATCATTTTAGTAGGACACACAATGTGCCTAGTGAGGCCTAAGTGCCGTGGGGTAACCCACCCTCTATACGTTACATATCCAGAAGTACTGTACGTAGTTTTAAATGCATTTCAATTGTATCCTAATAGCAGCGACTTGGTTCCTCGAAGTGAGGTTTTCATATATTTTAATTATTGCATTGTATTATTGCTTATTTACTGTTTTAATTCGAATAGTTTAAAAAACAAAAAAATAACATATTTAAATAAAAGGCTAAGAAATTAAATGATGCATAATACGTACGCGTAAATTATCATTATTATTATTTAGAAATTAAAAAAAAAAAAAAAAAAAAAAAAAAAAAAAAAAAAAAAAAAAAAAAAAAAACATTGACAGCCAGATGCATGAACGTTCAATAAAATTTACGAGTAACACAATGTATTTTTTTTCATGTAATACAAATTTTAAAACTATATAATTACTACTTAGTTAAATACAACTACTTAACTATACTGCAATGCAATTACCAAACGTTGCTCTTCATAAATGACAGCTATATTTGACGTTAAACCACCTCTAAAACACTGAGAAAACTTGGCACTTTTTTGTCCACGAATCGCACATTTAGTTTCGCTTCTTGGGTAGGTATTCTTTGCTGTAGGTATATTAATGTGTATATCATTAGCATGTATAGAACATTTTTTAAAAAATTAATAATATCAGCTATATAAATAATGAACAAATAGAGGACCCAGGATAGAGCCTTGTAAAACTTCTGATAAAATTTAAATGATAAGGTTTTATCAACACATAATTTTTGTTATTTTCCAAGTAGGGAAGACCAGATAAGGAATGACATTACTTTCAAAATCCAAATGTCTCAATTTAATAACTAAAAATAGGTTGTAAATTATTCGTTAGAAAATTTTTAATAAATATGGAAGTATGCTAGTAATTTTCACTATTGCCATCTGTGGTAACATTTTAATTTTGTGGCAGCAGATAAATGGTTAAGTTCACCTTGAATCAACCTGGTAACGTTACTACGTTATAGCTATGACACTATTTATTATTATGATAGATTGTCATTATTATTTTATATTATACCCTCAGTTTTACATCGAATAATTATATGCATTATACAATTATATATTTGCATTTGCTACCTACACCATCTCTAATGTTTAACCAGTTATGTAGACAAACTAGCTTCGAACAATTACTGTATTCGTACGACTCCAAAATTGAAAAAGAAGAAGCGGGTGTAATCGACAAGAAGCCAAGCGTTGAGCGTTGACATATCAATAAACCTTGGCCATTTTTGCCACGATCTTCCAAACAGAAATGATCGGTATAAAATTGTGCGCCATATAGAGTTGATTAATATTCCTCTTGCTAACAAAAATAAATAGATATTTTCGCTTTGAGTTCCAAGCGAATTGATTCAAAGCTTGTTTTGAAACTGTATAAACATCCGACTACCTCGGTACTTTAATCTATGTTCCGGGATACAGCAATGAAAAAGCCGACTCGATTTGCTAAAAAAAGTAACTGAAACTCAATTCAGAGGACCAGAACCATTCCTTGGTTATGCAAAAAGTATTGCCAAACAATTGTCTCAAACAACATGGAGAGAGGGAGAGGTACTCAAGTCTAACTCACTTTAAGACTATTCAGAGACATTTATATCCAACTGATCCCATCCCATCGTCATCACATCTCTATATTTATATAATTTAATAAATGGTTGATTGTTTGAAAACCTACGTATTAGTTTTGACCAACTTACTGAGAAAAATTTGTTGATACATTATAAAACTTTGTAGTTTACTTTCTGAATTCAGTAATGCGTCTGCGTCTGCGTCTGCGTCTGCGTCTGCGTCTGCGTCTGCGTTTGTGTGTGTGTGTGTGTGTGTGTGTGTGTCTGTGTCCACCATAACTCATGAACCTATGCACAGAAAAACACCAAATTTTAAACTTAAGCTTTGTTCCAGCGTCCAATGAACTGATTAGATTTTGGGCAGAGTCGGAGCATCTGGGGGGTACTTTATAGGTGGTCATTTTTATATTTTATGGAATATATCTGTTATTTACGCTTGGAGAAGAAAATTCTTTAAATAAAAGTTACTTATTATAATTTTTCTTCTATACAAAATTTTTCTAAAATGGTCTGTATTCGAGAAATTTAACAAAATGTAAAAAAATATTTTTTTATAAAAATTGTTCAAACAAAAGTTGTTTGTAATATAATTCTCTATAATTTTTATTCCATACATAATTTCTCTAAAATGGACCGTATTCCAGATATTTGAGAAAATGTGTAAATTTCGAATTTTGAAGAAAACTCAAAAACGGATAAAGAAAAAACATTAAATTTTAAATTTAAGTTTTGTTTCGGCCTGACGTGAATTGATTAGATTTTGGACAAAGTCGGAACATCTGGGGGGTACTTTATAGGAGGCCGTTTTTATATTTTATGGAATATATCTGTTATTTATGTTTGAAGGAAAAAATTGTTCCAATAAAAGTTACTTCTAATATTATTATCTATAATTTTTGCCTTATGTCAAAATTTCCTGAAATGGTCCGTATTCGAGAAATTTGACAAAATGTGCAAAATTCTGATTTTTATGAAAATTGTTGAACTAAAAGTTGTTTGCGATATCGATCTCTATAATTTTTGTTTATACATGATTTTTCTAAAATGGACCGTAATGTAAAAATTGTAGGAAAAGTGCTAAATTTAAATTTTTCAGTATTTTCGTTTTCAATGAATATCTATAGAAAAATGTTTCGAGGTAGATGTATGTGGAAAAATGTATATATTTAGTTTATCCTCTAAACATTTATAGAGGTGCTGCAATAGGTTGTACAAAATAACCGGAAAAAGCCTATAATAACTAGATAGGAAAGTCATGTGTTGGACACATCAGATTTTTTATATTAATATCCAAATTTATCACTAAGAGAACATATCTTACTTGAAACGTCTGCTCATTGTCATACAGAACCATGGTAGGCACTCTTGTTGTCCTTATATAAGTAATGCCTTTGCAATTAGCAGCCAATTCTACGGCTCTTTCTGCGGAAATGGCATCACTGGGATAAAACACCGTGCTAGTTGGAATCACTCTAAACATCGTGATATCTTCTAAAGCCATTTGACTGGGACCATCGTGTCCAACTGAGATGCCGCAATGAGAACCACACAAGTTCACGTTGGATTGGGATATTGCAGCCATACGGATCTTTAAATAAACATTTACTATTATTACAGCATAATAGCTTAACAATGGTTGAAATAGGACAGGAGAATGCAGATATTTTTTAATTAGGTACACATCTACCTACATTATTTAATGGCCTAAGGCTTAGGTAAACATACATGATTTCTAAAAATATCCACTTCTTTCATCATAAAATTACTAAAAAAACAGCATTTCTTTTGCTAGTTTAAAAAAATGTTTTTATATGTGTATAATGTTGTATAGGAAAGAGTGTTTGTGTGTTATGAAATTCGAGTATGGGAGGTTTCGGCAGGTACTTAACAGGTATTTAAGATTAAAATATGTCGGACTAAATCGTTGTAACATAAAATCTGATTTTTTAACCTTATACACCCCAATCAGCAATCGCCTGACACTTTTCGCGGGGTCTAACATCCTTCAAGATACGACACAGTAAGAGGTATAGATGAAATGTTAGCGAGAGAGCATCATTCGTGAACATGAGTGTTAGTGAGAGTATTAAATGAGTTTATCAGTGAAGTCAAAAAATAAAAAAAAAATTCCCGGCAACTCTACAGCTTCTTGTTTCTTCTTATCTTTCCTTGAATTTTACAAGGGAATGTTCTTTAATTCGGTCTGTCACTACCGATTTTCTGTCTTCTTAGGATTAATAGACAGTGAATGACCCTTATACCACTGTTCCATAATTTTAAGAGCTACTTGCATTCTTTCGCAGAGTATGTTCTCAAAATTCCCTGTTAGCAGAATGACCAGGTCATCTGCATATGCTATTGTGTAGTGACTGTCATTATTGAGGCAGCTAATGAGGGTGTCGATGACCATGTTTCACAGTAGAGGTGATATCACCCCTCCCTGTGGACATCCCCTCGCAACCAAGCCTCTTATATTCACATCTGCTACGCTTATGTGTACTGCTCGCTTTGAGAGCATGTTATGTATCCACCCACTAACCATCTGTGGAACATTCCTGTTGTTCAGTGTGTGTATTATCTTGGAGAAGGTGGTTTTATCAAAAGCACCTTCTATGTCTACGAAAACACCCAAGGCTGATTCCTTATTGTCCAGGAGTCACCGTAGCGGTAACGTGGATATTTGCTCTTTTTGTTAACTTGACTCGGTGAATGTGAAAAAGCTAATCCCTCAGCCCACAAGAAACGTGGTATTTATACTTAAATTTCCCATATATGCAAATGTATTGGAAAGGAAGAAGGACTGTGAATCTGGTGCATAAAGACTTTAAAGCCCTGTATTAACCCTTGAATATAGCCTTAACGTTTTACATCTGGTTTTTAGTCACGGTCCTATTTCAAAAGTAATTAAGTGGAGCCTAGCAGTCCCAAGAAGCTGCATTTGGAATTAAAATTTAAATATAATATATAGAAATTATTTAAATTAACTATCAACCCCCGATTGTCGGATTTCAACAGCTATATCAAAAAACATTTTTGTTTTGTTTTTCAATCTAGCAATGTGATATAGGAGAGGTGAATTTTTAAATATATATTTTTTATAACTTATGAAATTTAATTTTTTAGTTATTACTTACTTCTTCGCCCTCTTCCATAGAATGACATTTTTACCTTGAAATTGAAACTGGACTTTCGTCCCAGCAAACATAAGAATCACAACTTAAGAGAAGGAAACAACAGTCCAATTCTAACGGTCACCCGATGCAGGCATCATTGGAAGAGAAAGAAGAAAGGAAAGAGAAAAAGAAAGTTGATGAAGCTACAAAAAAGTTGCTTGTTATGTTATTCTCAATAATTTTTGTCTCGTACATAATTTTTCTAAAATTGGAGAAATTGGGTAAAATGTGCAGAATTCGAATGTTTAAGATAATTGTTCAAATAAAAGTTGTTTGCGATATCATTCTCTATTATCTAAAATGGACCGTAATGGAAAAATTTGAGGAAAAGTATATTTATTTTTCAGTATTTTCATTGGTAATGAATAGAAAAAAATATTTCAAGATGTGTGTGGAAAATGTATGTATTTAGTTCATCTAAACATTTAGAGAGGTGATAAATAGGTTGTACAAAATAACCGGAAAAAGCCTGTAATAACTAGACAGGAAAGTAATGTGTCGGACACATCATATTTTTGTTGTTGTTGTTGTTGTTATTGTTATTGTTGTTGTTGTTATTGTTGTTGTTGTTGTTGTTGTTGTTGTTGTTGTTGTTGTTGTTGTTGTTGTTGTTGTTGCAGCATCATTTCGATGGAATACACTTTGTTTACAATGAAAAAGTCAGTATTAAATGTCTCTCTGTAGAAGTGACAAAACATTTAAATTTTACAGCCAACTCCAATTAAGACTTTTCTTGACGGCTCATTACATCATATCTATTAATTAGTAATTATTCGCACCCTAATTAACTTTTTTTACAGAAACATCAGAAGGCAGTGTAAATGATGATCTTGATAATATCGAATCAACTGACTAGTACAATGATGACGATATGGAAAATATTGATATCGAGGAAAATAATATGTAAATATTTTCTTACTTTTAAATTTTTTTAGGTTTGTACATTTTTAATTAAATATTAATAATTATAATTAATGTTGAGGTATTAATAAATAGTTTTTCTCTATTTATAAAAATAAGCTTTCTTATTCTTGAGCTAAATTCATATTTTCTAACCTGTTTCCTGTGTGGTACATAGTTTTTAATATCTATTAAATTTATACTACGTTTAAGGTCACAGACTAACTTTTATCAAGAATAACAATCTATTAGATTACTAGTGGCGAAAGTGACATTTTTCACACAAGTTGGAAATATTGTCACATGAGGAGATATAGCCAAGTGCTACAAATCCATAAATGTGAAAAGTCATTTGTATGTTTTTACCTGATCGAATGCTCTCGTCAAAAAGGCTCCAAATGTGGATGCAAAAGCGCAAACTCGATCCCTACAAGCCGCTCCTATGGCCACTCCTACCAAATTTTGTTCAGCGATGTAACATTCAACGAAATTTTTAGAATTTTCTTTCTTCAAATATTCGGAAAACGTTGAATTACTCATATCACCGTCGAATGCCATTACTCGTGGATTATTTTTTGCCAATTTTACTAAAGCGTTTCCTATACAAACAAATAATGTTAGAAGATAATATTTTTACTTTATATTAACAAAAACGAAGCTTCGGATAGGAATGTTTTTCCATTAGTGGTGGAAAAATTCGTCTTTGCTTTTTTTCTCAAGCCCACAAAACATAAAATATTAATCAAAATATTATCGAGTTTTTCTTTATAACGCAAGAAAACTTACCATATGCGGTTCTGGTTGCTACCTTATCTTCCTTTTTATAACATGGTGGTGATGATAATCTAATGTCGGCAAGATTTACAATATTTACTTTACCACATGGAGGTGTTATGTTGAAATCCACTTTTCCTCCATTCGTTAGAAGTGATTTTAAATGTTGAAGAACTGCATCAGTTTTGTCACCCAGTGGTTTTCCGTGCCAGTTTTCTTTATCTTCTACGCCCGGAAAATCTTTACCCTACAATTAAATTAAAAAAAAAAAGTTTTTTACGACCACTGGCAGTCAGAAAACAATATCTACTTATGTACGTGTACATGCACGTAGTTAAAATGCTATTACATTTATAAAATGAAGGAGTATCTAAACAAGTTGAGTTAAATTAAGAAAGAAAAAAGAAGCAATAGAAAAGGATACACAATTGGATAATGGTTGATGTGTATTATCGCTTTAATTCAAGTTCAATTAATACAAGCATATTGATAAATATAATAATTATGTTTTGAGTTTATGTATTTTTAAAATATTTAGTAAATAGAGTGGGTATAACACCATCCTGGGAATTACCATCTCCTAGGGAATTACCGCTACTACACCCTTTTTTCCCTTAAAGTGGAACGTCAACCCCAAGCCCTAGTCAAATGAGATGTCACCAGTGGATATTTAAGAAAAAAGGTTAAGTACTTGTGATTTTCTTCTGATTTTGGACACAATTTTAAGCTCTGGCATGCTCAGGAGGAATTGTCAAACAGATTACAGCTAAATGTTTCATTAAAGATTAGAACAATTAAACCAAGAAGTTGAAAAGTGTGTAAATGAGATTCAACAAGCTGCTTGGCAAAATACACCTGAAATCAAAAGGGGTTACAATGGAAATCAATTGTTCTCTTGAAATAAGACAACTAACAGCTGACAAAAAGAAAATTAAGAAAAAGTGGCAAAGAATAAGAGCAACAGATGATATAAAACAACTAAACAGGATCTCCCAAACATTACGAAGACACATTGCTCAACTAAACCAGTAATAAATATTTATAAGAACAGATGATAGTAAAATATACTATTCCCTCTGGATAGTATCCAAAAACAAAAAAGGCCACTGGCACACTACCCATCAATCGAAACTACAAGTCAAGGCAAGAAGAAGCCGAAATGTTCTAAAATCACTGGGAACAAACTTTTCGGCAATACGAAAGACATCATAGCATATAGGAATTACTGTTGTATGAAGGTGAAGATTTAGACATCAATCCAATAACTCCAAAAGAAGTAGTAGAAGAAATTTAGAACGAAATAAATTAAAAAAAAACTACCGGCAGAGAAATTCTTAAGAAACTATCTAAAAAAACTATTGGTGAACTTATTTGTCTAATCCAGCATGTGGCTGGTAAACATGAAGTAATATTTTTGGCTGCAGCCCAGGTATTTGATCGGGTCTGAAAGACTAATAATTAACAAATTGGAGAAAATGTTATCAAAACAATACTGATCGAGTATTCCAAGTTAAATAGAAGGAAGCATTTTATAAAATAAAAGATATTAGCGCAGTTGTACAACAAGGTAGCGTACTAGGCCCAGTGATTTACATGTTGTACACTTATAAGGTACCTGAGCCAAATAAGGCCAGGGGTCCCTATAAGGCCAATTAATAGATGTGGCAACGCTGAGTTACAAAACACGAAGCACATAGGCCCCTCTACTTGCGGGTTGTCACCCGAGAACCGGTCAAGGTTGAAACCTACGTTGTCTTTTGCGCGCATTCATTAGTTTAAACATAACCGCAATAAGGGTATATCACAGGTCCGTGATCTAAAAACAGTGTTTTCTTTCAAATGCTCAAATTGTGTATAAAAGTAAGTAAATATTTTTTTGTTCTGGTGCCAAAGCAAAGCTTGTAGTTTTAGCTATCTAGTGGTATAGTTTTTGATAGCAAATCATATTATTCCTTGCTGCTTAACGAATTTTTAATTCTTCCAAACCATGGCAATTTATAGGGACTCTAATAAGGCCCATAATTTTGGCCCAAATAAAGCCCGGGCCTTATTTGGACCCTAGTCATTTAATAATGTATAGGTAATAAGTACATCCTTTTAAATTTCCAGGTATAATGGAACCTCCAAAAAAACGAGCGAAATGGTCGCAAGAACAGCTGCGGCGTGCGATGGACGCAGTGAGAGGTGGATTATCTATCAGAAGTGCTAGCTTAAACTATGGCATACCTCGAAGAACTTTGCGAAATTATGTAACATCTGGTGTAAGTGAAAAAAGATTGGGACGCCCAACAGTTTTAACAGCTACTCAGGAAATTGATCTTTGTGAAAGAATATTTAGATTATGTGACATTGGAATGCCGTTAACTTCGAAGCTCCTGAAAAGATCGGTTTTTGCCTACTGCCAGCGGCTTGAAATACCCAACCCATTTTCTAATGTTAAAAAAACTGCAGGAAGGAAATGGTTCCGGCTTTTTCTAAAGAGACATGCGGAAGTAGCAAGACGCAAAACACAGCAAATGAATGCTGCAAGGGCAGCAAAACTAAATAGGTTTATCGTAAATGATCATTTTGCAAAACTTCGCCATATTTTGGAGGAAATGAATATTATGAATAAACCGCATCTCATTTTTAATATCGACGAAAAGGGTTGTAGACTAACCTTGCATAAGCAACCAGAAGTTCTTGCGAAACGTGGCTCTTCAAATGTCCATATTATTTCCGAAGAACCTGCCGAAAATGTTACGATAGTTGCATGTGGTAATGCAATTGGTCAAGTAATACCTCCAATGATTTTAATGAAAGGAAAAAGGGAAAACAAGAATGGTCTGAGAACCTTCCACCAGGATCTGTTATTAAAATGACCGACAAAGGCAGTATGAATACTTCAACTTTTGTGACTTGGACACTTTTCTCAGTTTAAACCAAACGAGAGGGTTCTTCTTATATTTGACGGCGCATCTTCTCATCTTGACTTCTCAATAGTTGAAGAGGCAGATAAACATGCTATAACTTTGTACTGCCTTCCTAGTAATACCACCCATCAGTTACAACCAATGGATAAGTCTGTCTTTGGGCCATTTGAAAGATATTGGTATGACGAGGTGTTACTCTTCTGGATTAATAAACCTAACCACCGAATAACTAAGTTAAATTTCGGAACAATTTTTAGCAAAGTATGGCCACGGGCAGCAACACCATCTAACGTTTCAGCTGGATTTCGGGCAACCGGAATTTATCCTTTCGACCCAAACGTAATACCAGACAGTGTGTTTGCGCCTTCAGAGCTTACAATGAGAAGATCTCTCAATACAGAAAGTGAAGTGAGGGAAACACAAAATAACGAGCAGGAACATGCAGCTGAATTGAACCATGTAAACCCTGAAACTATTCCGAAAACTATTATCATTAAAAGAAGACATGAAAGAAAGCTAGATGTTGCATCTAAAATTAAGCAAAAAATTTCAGACAGTTCTACTTGCAAAGCTGGTCCAAGTGGACTTCAAAAGTCCAATAGAAATCTAAAAATAATTAGAAAAGTGAGCAACTTCTCAGACTCAGACACTTCAAGTGATTATTCTGTACGAGATTCTTCTTCGGGCGATGAGAGTTTCAGTAGCTATATTCGTGAAGGTACCCCTATTAAAGAAAAATCTCCAGAACAAGAATATGACAATGTATCTACCTTTAAAAACGTATTGCCCACGCCTGAAATTAAAGAAAAAAAAATTACACCAAGAAAAAAATCATTAAATTATAGGGCACAACGCGTAACCAAAGACTTGTTTAAGGGAAGTAAACAAAAAGATCAAACTGTTCCAAAAACTAATAAACCTCATCCTCGGATAAATAAAAACGCAAAGAAAGTACTAGAAAAATGGTATTGTCACCGTATGTGATGAAGATCAAGTGGCAAATATGCGACTATGTAATATGTGCCTGCGGTATGTTCACGAAGATTGTGTAGGGTTAACCGCGAAGGATAAAGAATCTTTATTTATATGTCCTTCGTGTTCTGACTGAAATTACATATGTCAACATCATTTCCTCCTTAGTAATTATTTATCTCTCATTACATTAACTATTTATATTTTCACGTTTTATTGAGTTTTGTGAACTTTAATTGTTTTCTGCTTCAATTTATTATTACCAAAAAATGATAAGGGTACATTATTTATTATTTTAACGGGAATTTTGAACTATTTTTTTGTTTAATATTGCTAAAGGCTATATTTACTATAGAATGCATTTGTTTTTTTAAGAAATAAATATAATTATCAACCATGATATGCTGTTTTATTACGTGGGCCATATTTTGGTATCCCCTATGGCCTTAATAAGGACCCTTGGTCTTAATTAGGCCCATTAACAATTAAAATAGAAATGCACTTAAAATTAATTAAGAATTCGATTATTATAAGTGTTAGTTATAAACATAGTGTAAAGAATTTACTTCATAAATTTGGTTACTATACGATACAAATTTTGAATTTCTAAAGGCCTCTGAAATTAGCATGGCCTTATTAGGAACAGGTACCTTATACCACAATCCAAACACGTAAAGATCGCTAACAATACAGCTATCCTAGCAATGGGTCATGACAACCAAGAAACTATAGATAAACTCCAAGAGGCGTGTATCAATGTAACTGAATGGAGCAAAACGTGTCGAACAAGAATAAATAAGAGCAAATCATCATTCTTTAGCTTTACATATAAATAAAGGGAACATTACCAATACCCATACCCATATATGATGTGATACCACACTACGATGCAGTAGTAAAATATCTAGAAATAAAAAAAAGGAAGGAGCTTGACTCAAAATTGTTGTGTATAATAAGTTATTGTTGTGTAAACAGTTTTTAAAATCAGTCTGGTTTAATGGAATCCAGCTCTGGGATACGCAGCAATATAGACAAAATTCAGAGATGTATTGTTGATGCACCACAGCATTATAGAACTGATCACCTTCAGAGAGATTTGAGAATGCCGATCGTTAAAGAAGGAATCAAGAGATTTTCAGGGAAACACAAAGGAATACATTAAATATGGAGGTCCTACAAATCCTAGATAATGTAGATCTAAAATGAAGACTGGATGATTAAACGTTTTGAGCTAATGTAGTTATTGTTTAGTGAATAGTGTTAGAGCCAGAGATAACAGGAGATATAGCTATTCATTGATACAATATAATATTCGTGACGCCGACATCGATACCACCGTCAATACGGCCCAGTTGTAAATCAGGAGTGAAGAAACATGTGGAGTGAAGTATGGGAAGGGATAAACTGAATAATTTGACGTCGGTACAATCAATGAATATATATGTAAACCATTGTACGCCTATAATAAACAACATACAAAATGCAAGCATCTAGTATAAAATACTTGATATCCAACTTAACATTAACTAGGTTTTGAAATTTATTGAAAATTATTACATCTAATTTAGGGAAATTACATATTATTTAAATAAATTTGATATAATTAATTATTCAAAATTTTTTGGGTTCAGTTGCAATAAAATAGGTTGAATTATTTTAGGTTTTTTAAGATATGTAAATAATTTTGGATAACAAAACGAGAATAATGAAATAGAATAATGACAACAGCGGATTATACCCTCATGACGACAGTACGATATTTGTTTGTAGTTACATCTCCTGTTATCTTTGGTTATAGAGGAGAGCATAGTGAAATACGTCAAAATTGTTGCTTATTTTAGAGTCTAAAAGACTGAAAACAGTTAATGTTTGTTTTTGTGTCAATTTGATGTGGACCCTACATTTGAAGCGCTTGATGTCTGAAAACTCAAAACCATCCTTAGCCTTACGCTATTTATTTATATAATTTTACCTAGATATTTACTTTAAAAGTCTTGGCAATCACGCAACTAGGTTTTCCTTTACATTTCTTAACGCAATCAAAAGCTTTAACCAATTCTTCAACATTGTGTCCATCTACTGAAATGCAATTAAAATTGCACGCTTCTAATCGTTTCTCATACTGCTGCACGTCGTGCCCAAACATGGTTGATCCAGTTTGACCCAATCTATTCACGTCTATAATGAGGACTAAATTATCCAATTTGTAGTGCGTAGCAAAGTTGATAGATTCCCAAATTGAGCCTTCAGCACATTCACCGTCGCCAATTAAACAATATACCCTAAAATATTAATACAATAAGTTGGAAAAATAGCGGGTGAGTGTAAATTGGTGATTTTGTTTTTGAAAGGTTGTAAATGTATTTCAAAAATTAGTTAGGTAATAGCGATTTGTCATTCAATGGCGTTTCCAGAAAGGTACACATTGCTGACAAGTACATTTGAATTTGAGTTAAAACCGCACGCCTATGGCAGGAATTTAATTAAGGGTAAAGACAGTAGACTTGTAAAAATAGAGGTTACAGTCATTTATTAATATTCTATTAATTTTAAGATTGTATTTATTTATTTAAACATTAAATAGTGCGGAAAATGCACTTTACGCACGTGTTAGGAACAACATGTTTCCTGCAAGTTCTTATCAGATAACAAAAATAAAACAAAATCGATAATTTATTCAATAATTTTTAATTAAACTTGAAAGAAAGAACTATACGACAAAAAATTAGGTACATAACAGTAAAAATTAAATTATTTGTTTATAATATTTATGATTAAAGAATTATTGTTATTTTGAAAATTGATTAGTGGTTGGCTTATGGTATGGCATGATGAACACTGACTGCTCGTAAGGGCAGTTAATATTATGGCTTGATATTAAGGTTGATATAAATGCAGTAGTTGTTCACATGGCTTGATTAATGTTGACTTCACTCAGAAAGACAGTTGTTTATATAGCTGAAGGTTGACTTAACTCAAAAGGGCAGCTTGATGAAGGTTGACTTAATGCATAGAAGGGCAGTTGTTCGTGCCCAAAGTGCTTCTTGGCAACTCTGCAGCTTCTTGTTTTATCCCATATTTCCTTGAATTTCACAAGCGAATGTCCTTTAATTAGATTTGTTACTACCTATAATGTCAATCCAATGAACTTCAAAAAGTATTTGGTTGGCTGCCTTCTTGGCCAGTGACCTTTGATCCATCTGAAGGTGATCATATTGTTGCTTCATCACATTCTAGTACTAACCCTAATACTCCAGTAATTACGTGCTGTATAATATTACCTTTAGCTGGAAAAATTTAAGGAAGTTTTGATATTTGGCGATTTCATGTATTTTTAACTGCTCTTTTCGATTTTTTATTTTGCCACCTCGTAATTTTGCCGCCGTCGTCGCCATATTGTAATGAATTGTGTTAAAGAAGTTTTTTTGTTACTAGTTGCTTTTACAGCAAAAATAGTTCTTTCATTGCAGGAAAGGCGAATGTTGAGAAAACCAATTCATTAATTTTTTTACGTCATTGTTATCACGATGAATCCGGAAACTTCTCAATTTAACATGCTGTTCTGAAGTGCTAAACTCTATATTACAAAAATCTTCAACCGCGTCACAAATATTGTGCAAGAATGACATTCCCATAGTCCACCTAGAAGGTATGCTCTCCTGGACTTCGAGTTAGTCCATCTACGGTTTTCATCCTTTGCATTAATGATTTCTCAATAACCATGTCTGACCATGCTCCACACCAAAATGTATCAGAACATTTAATTGTGAAGCGCCCTCCATCTGTAAAAGACCTGTATTCTGTAGGATTCATCTTTTCTTTTAAACTATACATATCCTGTAAATATAAATGTCCACATTTAGCGTACAAAAAATGACCACCGGCATGAAAATAGGGCAACATTTGCTGGCTACTATTAAGATGAAGGTCCCAGTTTCCGCTTCTTTCTTTCGGCCTCAATAAATTGTTTTGTAACTGATACCATGCGAAAGCAAAAAACCCATAATTTAGCAGTTGGACCACGTTACTAGATGATTTTTAAATTTTGAAGCTAATTCTTTGGCGCATTTTCTTTGGTCTGCTTCAAGTATTACTGACTTGTCGAAATCGCATAGAATTGCTTCTAGTCCTGCGTGTTTGTCTGGTGATAAATCAATTTCCTGCATGATCAATTTTGCGAGATGGACACATGTGCTCTGCACGGACGAGAGTATGCATAACCTGCATTGGGATTCTCATATTTCAATAGGGCATGTTTTGAGACGACTATCTTCATTCCACAGAATGCGATTCTTATGAAATGTCTCTCTCTATTTGATTCGTTACGTGTTGAGTTCGCACATAAGAATCCCTGTCCAGATAACATCTGTTCAAGTGAATTCAAAACTGCAAAAATTGTACTTAGAAGCTCGGTTAATCCACTACCATTCATAATATACCGATTGGCTCCCATGAACGACATCAATAAATGAAAGCCACCTAATGGTATAACGACATTTTTCAATTTTGCTTTCATGCCACTCGAACAATTTGTTTTGCTTTAAAATAAAGTGGCTGATCAAAAGTGATGAAACATGTTTGATGATTAAATGACTTTTCTCAGAGGCTGTTGCTAAAACTGTAAAAATCGTGTCGGAGTTAATGAAAGGCAAACAAGCTATAAAAGATTTCTGATATGAATGGTTTACTCACTTTTTCCATAAATCCATTCCATCCAGGTATATTGGGCAAATCAGCCCAGCAGATCTGAAGTTGCCGACATTATTGTATTTGCGACTGAAGAAATAGTAATAGGAATTCCCTGTAGACTGGAAAAGTTTATCTTCTCATGGCTTTGTAGTGCAATGCTACCACAGAATTTCCGATGTACTGAGCTGACATTTGTGAGACGAGGAATATTCTGATCAGAAGCAATGACACTTGCGGGCGTTATATAATGGATGCCTCCCATGACATGAAAAGTGTTTCTGCCATACAGAGTTTGAGTAATAAAGTCCGCATTGTCGAAAACGAACTGTGAAAAGGCACCACTGTCAATATTCAAAGGAAAGCACATCAAAGTCGAAATTTCAAAAAGTGGAGCTTCCGAGTGCGAGGAACAAAATCCTAGTGAAGCCAAGGTGTCAATCAGCTTACAAGATCCGTATTCAACTTTAATTGCGTCTTCGAATCTAGTGTACGGCTTGCACTGAGTGCATACGAAAGATGGAAGATATGTTAATACCAGTTACTTTTCAATCTAAAATGTAACCGGTATCGATATATCGCTCATCTTTTATGTGCACTCCACGCAGGCAGGGCAGTGGAATCGAAGACGCTATTAGATTCCAGCGGTAGGCTCAATGAATAAAATTCATATTGCTTTGCACGCTGCATACTTGCTCAACTTTGTAATTCTCGTACAAGAGAACGGTTGTTTTTATGAAAAAAGTGATACGATGCAATTTGGTAGAGAAAATTATGTAGTTTAATTTACTACATAACCATTTTTACTGTAAAGGCAACGAGATATCTTGAAAAAATCTCTTTTTTACAATTTATTGCAATATGGTGGCGACAGCGGCAAAGATACGAGGTGGCAAAATTAAAATTCGTAAAATGTAGCTCAAAATACGTAGAATCACAAAATATCAAAACTTTCGCTAATTTTTCCAGGTAAATTTACGTAGTTAATATATAAGTTAATTCGTGGGCTGTCCAGGGTGAGTAGTGCTTGTCTGCTATCTATATAGATGAGCATGTTCCTTTCAGCGATATTGTCTCTGGTAACTTATTTTGCTGCTATGAGAATCCCCGTGAGCTCGGTTTAAACTACACTGGCACTATTACTCACAGCCAATTTATGTTTAGGTATAAGGATTTGGAGTATATTCCATATCCTTGGTCTTGCTTTGTTTTAGAACCGTAGGTGCAGATATGAATCGTACTTGCCACTTCCGGCTCTTCTATTTGTTCAGTGTTATAACCTTATAAACTAAATAGAGAAAGAAAATCTTGTCTGGTCCCTTGATACTAAAAATTATAAAGTTAAAGGGTTACTATCATGATTTTATCGTATCTACTGCGATGATTTCTACCGGTTTCTTAGAATTCAGAATCGGGAGATTTTAATTTTATTTGGCTGGCAAAAATGTGTCAGAGAAAAGAGTCAGTCAAAGCTCAAAACACTCTCCATGATAAGCACAGTCAACGTAGTCGATGATCTTGCGCAGAAGTACAGGCTACTCATTACGTTGTTATTTGTCTTTTAAATTTTTAATATTCAAACTATTGTGTGTTTACTTATGTTTGCATTTTAATTAGTATTTCAATCTCTTCGATTATAAAAATATAATCTTAAAGCATTTGCATATTGAAATTAACCAATTTGTCTAAAGTAAGGTAGAAAAGTCCAGTTTCTTCCGTAATATATTTTCGTGTATTCTACCATCTTTATTTAAGGACAAATGCCAAGTTAAATCTAAAAATTAAATTTTTTATATTTTGGTATTTTCTATTTATTTTGTTTTGTGATAAAAAAATTAATATTCTAACACTGTTTTTATATAATTGCTTCAAATACTAACTAAGTCTATTGGTGTGTCACTGGTCACTGGCTAGTGTTTAGATTACCTACTTAGCGAATCGGCGATTTAGAAAATGTAATATTTTCTTACCTATATGTAGCTTCATCCACATACTTCCCAATATACGCCATACCACTAGCAATAGATAAACCTTGACCAAGTGATCCAGTACCAACATCGATAAACTTCAATCTAGGTGTAGGGTGCCCCTCAAGATCGCTTTTGATATGCCTCAGATTCTTCAGTTCATCTTTGGGTATAAGTCCCAGTTCGACCCAACACCCATACAGAGCGGGTGCAGCGTGTCCTTTGGATAAGACAAATCGATCATTCGAAGGTTCTAGAGGTGAGCAAGGTTTGTAGCGCATTACTCTGAAGAAGAGGACGCTGAGAATTTCGCAACAGGAGGAACATGTTGTTGGGTGGCCTGATTTGGCGGCTGAAGTTGATTCGACGCTATGGATTCTTATGAGATGCGCTAGGTTTTTTAACGATTCAATGCTTGTTTCTTCCATATTAATTTGTTACTAGCTGATTTATTTGAATTAGAAAATTATTAGGTAGAAAAAATTATATAATTTTTAGATATTATTTAAATTGCAATTTTATAAAAAAAACTGTAGAGGAAATAATAGAAAACTTACGTCTTTTTATATTATGAAGGCCAAAAATTTAAATTTTATGAAAATAACACAAAAATTTGTCAGATTTAAAGGTTAATGTTAATTTGATATTGGCAATGACAAGTAGGCAAGGGCGGCTTCAAGACAAATTTTCGGGGGGGGGGGGATTGCCTTTAGATATTCCCTTTTTTTAACCGACTTCAAAAAAGGAGGAGGTTATCAATTCGTCGCGATATTTTTTTTTAACCGACTTCAAAAAAGGAGGAGGTTATCAATTCGTCGCGATATTTTTTTTTTTTTTTTTTTTTTTTTTTTTTATGTATGTTCAGCGATAATTCTTTAACACGGTGTCCGATTTCAATAATTCTTTTTTTGTTAGAAAGGGGCTACTTCAGGGGTGGTCCCATATAAATTTGGTCAAAATCTAAAAATTGGGTCCATGAGAAAATCCTCAAACTCTTCATTTTTTATGTATGTTTAGCGATAATGCTTTACTACCTTGTCCGATTTATATGATTTTTTTTTGTTAGTAAGGGGGTACCTCAGGGGTGATCCCATATAAATTTGGTTAAGATGTTGTGATGGCATCTGCACGTTTTTGAAGTCGGTTTTTTTAAATTTTTAATTTACACTTGTTAGCATATTTTTAACCGACTTCAAAAAAGGAGGAGGTTATCAATTCGTCGCGATATTTTTTTTTTATGTATGTTCACCGATTATTCTTTAACACGGTGTCCGATTTCAATGATTCTTTTTTTGTTAGAAAGGGGGTATTTCAGGGGTGGTCCCATATAAATTTATTCAAAATCTAATAATTGAGTCCATGAGAAAATCCTTAGTCTTCATTTTTTTATGTATGTTTAGCGATAATACTTTATCACCTTGTCCGATTTATATGATTCTTTTTTTGTTAGTAAGGGGGTACCTCAGGGGTGGTCCCATATAAATTTAGTTAAGATGTGGTGATGGCATCTGCCCGTTTTTGAAGTCGGTTTTTTTAAATTTTTAATTTCTAATACTTGTTTGAATAAAAGGCTCATAAATCGTAAGAAATTTCTTCTCGAAGCCGCCCTTGCAAATAGGTAGTAGGGATACAATGTGTCCCAGACATGGAAGTATAACACTATAGTTTGAATAAAAGAGGAGTGCAGTAAAAGTGGGGATATAACGTCACTTTGCAAAATAGGTTTCTATAATATAAATAGGTCTCTATAATATAAATAGGTCTCGTCATATAAAATGGTACACACGCACTTCGTAGATTAAATTTTGAACGAAAATAGTTATATAATTTACAAAAAATAAAAATAAACCTGATGCTTTTGACAAAATTGTTGCACTTTAACATTGAACGAATTAAATTTAACAAATAAATAACAAGGAGGATTATAGGGGATTAAACTTTTTTAATATCTTGGCATTGAAAGTAACAGTTTTTTTTGTAGTTCTTGGGTTTTTAGGTGTTTGTATTTTATTTTTTTTTGCATTAAAACCCCTTTTTTTGGATATACAGGGTGTTGCATTTTTGTCTGGCAAATAAAAATGTATATTTTTTAAAGATATTTTTTTAAAAACATTACAGGATTGCCAAGCAATTAATTTTTTTCTTCGTTCTATAGGTTTATATTAATTTCAAAATTATTTAATATACAGACTTACACATATATAGGGTGTCCCATCAGTGCGTAATTGTTCGATAGCTGTTCTATTATTGGATATACAAAAAAATATATATATATAAAAGTTGTATGACCATGTTTAATAGATATTCTTAAATAGGGGCTGACCAAACTTAACATTTTTAAAATAAAACACGCTGAAGGTAGTTACACATATTTGATTGTTTTCACAACGTCAAACAATTTTAATAGACTTCATTTATTTGGATTAGTCTAGTAGTTTTTCGTCGTTAAGTGAATACAATAAAAAAATATTTTATCTGTATCCAGTTTATTTAAAATTTATTTTTTGTAGTAGACATCAAAATAATACAATAATTATATAATTTATTTTAAACCGATGGCGTTTGTTTTATTTTTGTGCAAGTAATTTTAACATTCATGTCCAGTATGGGTTTGTTTTGTGAAATTACTTTTAGATTTAGGGCAAAAGTAGATATCTTTTTACAGTAACACTTTTTACTCAAAAATACTCAATTTTTTTGTAATGAAAAAAATTTTAATCCCTTTAAAATTTTTGTCCAAATAATCAATCTTTTGTTTAGTTTTAATTTACAATTTCTATTTAAATAATTAAAAATGTTTTTATTTTAATAATTATATAGTTTTTGTTTAAATAGTTAAATTGTTTTTGTTTAAATAGGTAGTTTTCCAAAAGCTGATTTTTTTATAGTTCTGAAACAAAATTCACAAAATATAAATATATAATCAAAAATTATATTGTACTAATTATTTATATCTGCTTTCTACTCAAATAAAAAAAAATATTTTAGTATATACTTGAGCATTCTATCCTGCGTGCTGGAAGATTCTTTCCTGATTGAAAAAAAAAAAAGTTAGTCTGGACCTGGTACGGCCACCATATTGATGCTTCACTTATGTCCACTTAACTCCGCCCACCGATGTCATTTTTAGAATTCATATAGGCGATTTTAAATCAGTTACTAGAAATGTGCCCAAGTCAAGTGTGGTCAAGGTTCTTACGTCATTATAATGACGTTCTATTAATTTGATTTAAAAATGTTTGGTATTGACTATGAAGACTAGAGATAAGGAGACGAATCGGCATACTCAAAATACGGTCCCAAAAAACGCATGCTAATTGAGCTTCTATAATTAATCGCATGGGCGCTGGTACCGCATACGTTGTTCAAAATACATGGCTTCTTATGGGAATTATGCATAATTTTGCAAAATAATAAAAATAAACTTGTTTACAGCTAAATAAAGCACAGAACATACTGTTGTATTTATTTCTAAATAAGTCTTGCATGTATTAATTGATAAATTATTTAATTTTATCTATATAAAATACAAATTAGGTATGTATGACCAAATTCGAAAAGGTTCCTTAATTGCTGAAATTTGATAATTACAATTTTGTGGGATTTTTTTTTTGAATTGAATTGAATTGAACCAATACATAGTTTTAATCTGAAACGACGTGAATCTTGCTTTGATATTTTTTGTCACTCATGTTACTTGTACCAATTCGCCTCCTTCTCTCTAGTCTTCATAATATTGACACTAACTTGACAATGGGCATGACATTGCAAAGTATGTGACATTGTCAGATATCGTGAATTTTTGTTTGTGTATTATGTATTGTACAGAGATAAGGGCCATAAAGATTGGAAACGCAACGACCGCCGCAACGATGGCGTCATCTAGCGTCTCCGATGTTAACTACAGGTCTACGTCGTTTGTAGAGAGACCAGTATTGCCAAATATTTTTTTTGAGAGATCGTATAAGTAGAGCAGAAAAATGGTATTTCGACAAAAAAATTGTACAATAGATACATGCATAGCATAATATAACTTAAATGGAATGAAAAAAAAAAAGCTTTGACATGATAATTTATTTATCTATTTATAAAAATGTTTACAACGAAAAAAAACTAAAGAAAATACATGAAACTTTAAATTAACACATTTAAAGTAATCTATGACTGTCACTTGAAAGTGATTGAAATTTTGCATGCAAGCTTTTCTTTTGCCATGATGTACAAAATCACCATGGTCAAAATCACAATAAGTCAGAATGAAAATGACTGCCTTCAGAAATTACGAACGGCCTATAAATCTTTGCAAGTAGTTTTTGATTTTTATTGTTTTATATTCTGAAGTTGTTGCTGATAAACCTACTAAAAAAGTGAAGATCATATTTTTACGTACGATCTCACTGATGCAATCGTACATCGTACAGAGAGTTAAAAAGTCGTATAAATACGATTTAAATCGTACGGTTGGCAACACTGATGACAGATAGTAGACGTGGACAGTTTGTAAATATAAATGTCAGTTTTATGTATATCGAAGAATCCTGAATTTAAATTTTAAGTTCATGATTTTGTTTTCCTCTAGATGAACTAAGTGAAATAGTTGTGGCTGTTTTTGTGTGAAATTTAAGGACAATAATTATATTTTGTAATATTACAATAAGTCGGAGAACGTATTACATTAGTAACCACATACTTTGATTTTCTTTTACTATACGGAGAATGGTCGCACTGCGCAGCTTTCTGAGTTTCTTTTAAAAGGAGATAAAAAACTCCGCCATTTTGAACCTTATTACGTGTTGCCTACATCTTGGCGCAATATTTTTAATAGGTGCGTTTTAATCATCCGCTTCTGCTTCGTAATTGTCGGTTTTCTTGTTTAAATCTGACAGGTTAGAATGACTGAACCGACAATTCCGGAAGCAGAAGCGGATAATTAAAACGCACCTGATATTTTGCTTGCTGCTGTCAGTGAATATTATTTTTGGAGTCACAGTTTATTGAAAAGAATCAGTTAGCTCACTCGGACCAGTTGAAAGTTCCAAAATAACATCCACTTTAGGGATACAAATTCAGGATACGCAGAAGACTGCTGTTTTATTATAGGCGGTTGTCATATATTGTATTATCTGAGTTGCGCAGTGTATAAACTGGAACATTGAGATAAAAAGTGCCGACGCAGAGTGAGCGATCTGATTCTTTAGCTATAAACTGTGTTATAGGGTTCAAAATGGTCGCGCCCTATGTTGTGCGTGTCGGACATCTCTCTTGCCCCGTATAGTTAGTAACACATGCCACATGAACAAATTTAACAACCCCAATGTGGCGTTCTTTAATTAACTAAAAGTAGGTAAGATCTATTCATGAAAGTAACACAAATAGTAATCAACTTTTGTCACAAAGTAGGTGTTTATGTATTATTTATTGTTTTAGAATAAGAAAATGGCTTCAAAACGTTAGAAAGAAGATTTGATATAGGAAGAAAAATATCTGAATTCGCATTATTGAATTTGCACTCAACATTTTTAAATAAGATACCAAAATAAAAACAAAAATGCAGTGTTACAAATAACAATCAAAAATTAAAAAATATTTGTCATGAATATAGATTTACAATAATTAATAAATAATTTAGCGTAATTACATTGTTTTAGTTTATTTAGAAGAAC